CTAAAATGTGAACTCTGACCATTCACCCAACATCACCCCCGCAGTTCAAAGTAATACTAAGAAGTTTCAACTGTATCTGGGAGTCACCCATTGGAAGTAAATTATCTTCAAAACTCATTCAAACGCAATGTACCCACGACTTATTCACAGTTTCCTTTGATTATGATACAGGAATCAGCCCTTGCTTGGTACAAGAAAGTATATGCATGGAAGGAGCCTCAGACAAAGGTATGTTCGACGCACTTTTGAGAATTGATTGCTGTACTGTTTTATCCTTGTAAGAGTTGCCCATTGGTCGTTGCTTGGGGTTCTCCTTCAAACAAGTTAAGAGCCTGTTACAAATGCGTAACAGGCTTATCAGAGGAGGAGAAGAAGAGCTGGTCAGTTGCGGAGCAAAAACTGTTTGCGTCAAAAGCGCACAAACTGCGGTCGCAGCGCAAGATTAAACGAGTTTCCTAATTTCGAAAATGCGGCGGATCACTGACCACCAACAACTATTTTTCTGGATCATGGACTTTGCCTAAGAAAAGACGAAGGCGCGTTCCTTAAGTGCGGAGATGAGCAAACAGAGAAAGCAGAGTCATACAGAGTAAACATTTTAGCCTATCTAACTAAGATCTAGACTCTCTTGTTGGGGTATTCACACCTAGAATAAAGACACCGACCATGCTTATCGTGAATTCTTACTCCTTCATCAAAGTTCACTTTCGTCAACCTGATGGAGATGCAGTGGGAAGCAAAAAGGGCCGAATCAAGGTTATTTATTCGCTGGGTTTGTCGATCATCAATTCTACGGACAAGGATCAGGGTTTATAATACAATTACAAAGAAATAATCTTAAAAATAAAAAAAGACGCTAGTTTACTTCTATTTACAGTCACTATTACAAAACAGAAATCATGTTTTCGACCTGAATCTATGCAGATTATTATATGGTTTAAACCTCCGTCTTCTTTTGTGAGGTACTTACTCAAAGACATCTTACTCTCCATCCTGATCTCGACATAAGTCACCAGCTTGTGGCAAATTTGGTCACATGTGTCGACTATGTCTTTTTCTCAAAACGTGGGTTTGGTTAACTTTGTTCTTTGCTTCAGACTACTGAGTAATCATCCTGATACATAACGCTCACCTTTTCATTGGGAAACGAGCGGTTCTGAAAAAGTATCTTTGGTTCTCACAAACCTCCTGTTTAGTTGCAATTCTCACGTTTGAGCTTTTTATATAAGGATACATCGCAATTTCTTGTTGCTTTGTTATTATTATGATTATTATTATTATTATTATTATCATTATAATTATTATTATTTTTATCATCATTACTATTGCTATTATTAATCTGTTTGTTTGTTTCGATGGAAGAGACTCACTTTTTCTTCCATTTGCCCATTTGTCTTATCATTCTGTGGCTTCAACTTACCATTCTTTAATTTCAAACTTTCACCTCACTGCATCTCTCTATGTGGAACCCTAGGGGCCATCTAATTAACTATGTGACGCATGCACTTATAATTAGTAATTACTGCCAAACAGCCGTCCACAGTTAAGTTCATGGCTTACTTCTTCGCCTTTCTTTTTAACAGCTGAGATCAAGTTCTGGGAGCATAGACACCGCGTGGCTTCACTGTAGATGCTGCGCTCACAATAAGATCTATCTTTTCCGTAGTTTGTTTTTTGATTTCGTTGTTAATGTGATTATCTTTATATTTTTATATTTTATATTATTAAGAACGAAGAGGCTATGTTATCAGCTATGGTGGATGTTGCCGAGTCCCTAGTAACGGACATGTTTCAAGCCAAGGCCTGTTACAGAAAGATATTCGCAGTGTTAGTGCTGATTGCAGTTTTAGCTGCAAACTGTTACCAGCAACTTATGCTTTTTAAACGTTTTTAGTGGCTTGCGGTAAAGTTACGATTTTAAAATCTGAAAACTGACAACCGTGGAGAAATCTTTTTGGAAGATGCGTAAAAAGATCCAATTTCAGGTGACCGAGTACATGCAAAGCAGGATTTCTGACGTCTCTCCCTCTTTAGGGTCGGATCCTACTGAAACACAAACCTATGTCAATTTGAATTGTTAAGTAACATCGTGAATGTGTGGGAAGGATCAGAATAGCAAAAATTTTCAATCTCTTTTGCAACGAATAGCCCATTTCCGAATTACCCTTAGCCTCATTTTCAAAACGAGGCCTGGTGCTCAACTATTTTTGTGAAAATGAGTTTAATTTGCATGTGAATGAAAACTTATTAACATATGAGAGAATGAGCACCAGGACTCGTTTTGAAAATGAGGCCAAGGGTAATTCGGAAATGGGCTATTCTTTTTGTGAGAATAAACTCTAATCGTAGTGGTGTGACTACCAAAAGGGAATAGAAGTGAATGGCACAGTGATACGCAAAGACCATCGACCATCGCGAAGTCATTCAGTAGAAAATACCAAAAGCTTAAGTTGGACGTAATATTCTACTGATGAGTTGTGTGTTCATCTTTTGCACCAGAACGGGAGTAAAGTATTTCACTACAGTTTACAACCAGTTGGAACTAATGGGAAGTGATTAAATTGTACTTTTGCCCATTGGTTTTGTTTTCTCTCTCTAATAGTTCGCTTATCGACAAATTAATACATCATGTGTCACAGCATTTGAATACTTGAGAATAAGGTACCATTAAGTCAGAATCTGGAGTAGCTTGAAAAAATGATAGCATTTTCCTCTTCTTGCCTTCCCTTATAGTGCACATTTAGTGTGCGCGGAAAGTGACGGTGACACCACGGTTTCACGCGTTCTGTAAGGCGTTAAGGCGTTAAGTCCTAACCAAGGTCATCATTAAAGTTTGTTTTTTTTCAGTTTTTCTATAAGCGTCTAGAAATACTGAGGTAACTCCAGGGCTGTAGCCTAGAAACGCCCTGTGGCCCCTGGCGCGTTACTTTTGCTCTTGGGCGACTCAGGAATCATAGCTTTTTCATAAAAAGCATATGCTGAGCACCCTGGATTTCACAGTTTCAGAGCACTGCCTCCCTTCAATTTTTCTTAGAGCACAGCCTTGAACTCTGATTCTAGAGAAAAATGCGGAAGGTAACGTGAAATGTTCTAGTATGATATTTTTATTGTTGATTCAGTTCTGTGTAGCTTGCATCTGATGTTCACAACACCATGAGGAATGTCAACAAGCGTCTTAAACAGGAAGGTGGCGCTGACATTGTTGGAGAGAAGCTGTTTTCATTATATTTGGCCGTGAAGGAAGTTATTAGTTACCGGACCATAGGAGAATCAGAGTAAGAAAGAAGATTCAGACTAGGTGCTTTAAAACTAGTACACTGACAAGCTGTAAAGTGCTAACCAAAGATGTCCTTCTTGGTACACTTAATCGCGAGGAAAATTAAGCGGGCTACGATCTGTAGAAATATTCGCAGCTTTGACTCTCTGCCTAAATAAGGTCAAAATACTGTTAGCTAAGTTCATTATCGTGAAGATCTGAACACTTCTGATATTGAAACTGAAGTCACAAAGTAAGGAAAGAAGGCCAAGCAAATATGCAAACAAACAAAAGTACAAATAATACAACTAAAGAGAAGATAACTGGATGATATAACTGGTGAAAGCATTAAATCTTACCTGTTTGTGAACCTTCTGCTATTTTTTTTCTTTCTTTTTTTTTTTTTCAGTTTAAATGAACACTTGCGCTCGAATCAAGAGATATTTTCAGTTACTTCCGTCAATAATAACCTGCCGCTATGGATGCTTTTGTAAAATTTCATTTTAAATCACCTCACCTTTCTTCAAAGTTCAATAAATCTATAATTGCTCATATGCCGTATAATAAACTGCCTTCTAATTTATAAAGGGAGTAAGTTTCTAAAAAAAAAGCTGTGGTGCTGTGTCGGTGGGGCAGTATAACAAGGTAAATTTGGTTTTATCAACAGAGTTGATAATTGAAATTGGCCACCGTAAGAACTTCAAAGCTGACGTTTCAAGCGTTAGCCCTCCGTCAGAGCGAATCATTCGCGCGAACAATTCGCTCCGACGAAGGGCTAAAGGTTCGAAACGTCAGCTTTGAAACTCTTAACGGTAACCAATCTACGTAATCTACTCAGTTGACAAAACCAAAAATTACCTTGTTCAACAGTATCCTCTAACTTAATTTGCTCGAGCCGTAGTGGAAAATGTTAACCTTCGGCCGTTTTTCTACCAACCTTACTGCGTTCGGTTCGTACCGTCACGACCTTGAGCAAATATCTCCAATTACGGCCCCCGTGCCTGGTTAAGGAAAGGTTAGTATCTTTCATCGGTGTAGGGTTCTTTATTTGCTCTCAGGCAGCGGCCACTTTATGTTCATCCATAAAGAAGAAGGTATAATAATCATTTTATTTTAGGCCAGACCATGTGTATGCCCTGGATGACTATCATGGGTGGTTCAAACAGTCTGTTTTACGGTGGCTGGATATTGCACAAGTTAAGGCCAAAGAAAGAATTAAAAAAGCAGTTGAAATTGACAAGGTAAGTCAAGGTGATACGATACTTTGTTCCTTTACACTGAGGCTATTTAACGTGGGTAATAGACATCTAGCCGACTAGAGCGAACAAATTGTCTCTGTTGTTCTGTATTGTGAAGGACTTTCTCCATCCTTTTCCCCTCCCAACCACATACCTCTTTTGTATGATAATGTTACTTAACACAGCGTCGTGAATTAAACAACTTGAGTTGTTTGTTAGAAAACTAGCGACTAAGAAAACATTTGCAGTTGGAAAAGAAATTTTGGAGAGACAAAAATGAAAAACAGCGCTGATTTGTGGGTGTTCAGGAAGCAGGCAACAGTTATCGAACCTGTCATCGGCAAAGGTTTTGTCATCTACTATATGAATTGTCTCCGGCGTCGTAAAGAGCATTTCTAAAGAAGGAGGTTTACATTATAGGACAACAAAATCTTGCCACTGTTGCTCTTCAAGCTTTGTATTTTGTCAAAAAACATGAGATACCATTCACCCCATATTAATGATATATTACCGGACACATGTTACATTATACATTACATTTCCTTTAAAAGTATAATTATGTGTGGCGGATAGTAACAGGCGCATGCCAAGACATTCTTTTTGAGTCATCGGTAGTCGATAGAAATGTGCTAGCATTTAACAACTTTTCGGGAAAGATAGTTGGAATCGGCTTAGGAAGTATCCTACAAAAGAGGAAAAAGAGGTTGGTTGGTTGTTTATCCCCAATTTGAGGTAGCGTTCACAAACACTTAAGAAAACAGGCAAAGCGTACTAAGATTTTCCCTAAAAACGACTTTAGATCTTTTTAAACGTTTTATAATTACAACGTCCGTTCTTTTAGTTCTTCGACAGTCCACAATACTGCCTTAGCGACAGATCGAAAAGTCAAAATAGCTAATTCTCTGAAATCCTCAATTGATAGATGAAGGTTAGGTTTCAACGTGACTTTTCAAGACTCGCCTTAAATTCACCAGAAGAAACTCGTTGAGGAATCACAAGCTGCAAACTGCAACAAAGAAATTGTTTTAATTTTGGTCTTTTAGATCTTGAGGATTGATGCAAGTGTTAGTCATTCAACTTCAGCCATCGATGGAGTTGGTTGCTTTCACCAGGTAAATGAAAAAAGTTTAGGTGTGTGACTCGCGTCTCTCTGCCCATCTGTCTTTTTCCTTCTTAAGTGACTATTTAGCTGTAAATGTTAATCCATTTTTGATCTTCTCAGATTCGAGAATTCTGGAGAAAGTTGGATTGGCCAGACCCATCTGGATCATATGTGTTTGTCATGCAAATCACCGACGTAAGTAGGACATCTGTGACCACTTATGGCGCACTTCTCTGAGACGATTTGATTGAAATAATACTTTTTGGGAATTCATAAAATGCTCGGTGATCTCTGGTTAAAAAAAAGTTTTAAGTGGCATATACCCAATGTGATACACGAGTAACAGAAGGTTAATTTTATTTTGCAGCAAATTTGTAGCAGTGGATCATACTATGCGGATCTTCTGTTCGAAAAGATGAATGAAAATAACTATTACGACAAGGATTCTTCTCAGTTTGACGTCAGTGAACAGGTATGTTCTACCTGAATTTATGAATAAATATGCTTCTTTTGAGTCGTGTGCTCTGGTCAACAGTGGCTGGTAGCGATATTTGTTTTCCCTTCCTTTTATCACTTTTCATTCTGACATGACCCGCTCTTATCGTTTATCCCCGAGTGTTCAAAACTAAAGCATGCCATATTAATTTATTTGTTGTAAGTGTGGTGCAAATGAACGCTTCTCAGTTTAGGTGAAATAACGCTCCAAAGATGAATTTTGTGGCTTTCTTAAATAACTTACATGTATACCCCCTCTATGCGATAAATCTTGTCGTCAACAGAAAAAATTACATGGGAAGGCAATAAACTTTGGGAAACGTCATGAATGGTCTTTTTTTAATAAAACGTCTTCGTTTTTTCAATTTAAATTTCCTAGTTATGCGTTACCTTGAATAACATTGAATACATGAGACTGTGGTTATCGAAACTGCCTGAGAACATAGGCTGGGAAGACGTCATTAACGCTATGATAACAGCACATGGCGAAAGAGGCGGAAAGCATGCACGCTCAGCTCTGGAAAACATGTTATGTAGTGCAGACGATGACATGCTTAATAAGATTGCCGATGCCATTGAGCACATTGGACAACGGGTTTGTATACGAAGTTTCATTGTAACCTTTACTTGTACTTCTAACAAAAGTGTTTTTTTATTAAGTCCGTTTATCGTGCTCGCTCAAAATTTTACCAGGACAAGTGAAAGATCCCTTGGGTGCTTCCTTGTTAACTTTCGTACAAGCTTTCTTCGCCGAGATATAATTCCCCGCGCTTCAACAAAATTTCTTTACTTATCTAAGAATACAGTTTTGTCGACCTGGTTTCATGTCAGTGCATTTTTTCGAGTTTTCGCTATCCTCTTGGTGTCTTTCATACATTTCTCTTTCTATTTGGTTTTTATCTTTGTTCGCCTTTTTAGATGGGAGTCGATATCAAGAGATTTGTTTTTCAGCTGTGCTGTGCGCCAGAAGACATGCCAGCTGAAGAAGTAAGCTTTGCTTATACAGACTTCACTTGAGAATAACAAATATTGCTAGTAGAACGGAAGAAGAGCTCCCCAAAATGTCTGTCGGCCGACTGTTGGCGAACGAAACACAGAAAACGTAACGAAAACACAACAGAAACACAGCGAAAACACGGGCGCGTGCAATTTTGTGAGTCTTTGAAAAAATTTACTCGTATTGCTAAATCTAAGTAACTAAATTTCAGCGGAAATGTGTCAGTCAGATACTACACATCAAGTTCACATAAATGACGATCGATATGGCCAATAATGCCTCGCACTCGAAATTTACCTCTGTTGCGTGGTGTTCGTCAAAATTCAATTTGAGGTAATTGTGAAAGTTCAAACTTACCAAGATGACAGTCTATTTACTCGTTTCTGAATTTGTTTTCATTGTGTTTTCTGTGTTTCGTTCGCCAACAGTCGGCCGACAGATATTTTGGGGAGCTGTTCTTCAATTTTTACCGCTATATCAGTATGTTTTGCGGTTGGTTTATTGAATCAATCTTGAACAAGGAAAACACATGTCTCATCGCTAGTTGCACCCACGATATCGATGGAAACCCTAATGTAAAGCTTAGGCTTCAGAGTAAGATGATCAGTGATTGACAAATGATGATTGATCCTGGAAGTGATGTTTCTCAGCGATCCTGTTGAGATATTTTAATGAAGCCACTAACCTAGGGAGCGTGTCAGTTATGAGCTTTGTGTTTCCGAAAAAATGAATAAAACACCTCATTTGTATTAGAAAAGAACATTTTTTTCAATACTGTAAAGCACCTTAGAACGATTTTATTCGAATTATTGCCATGTACGAGAACAATTATCATTATTGTTGCGATAACTATCATTATTTTTATTGCAACTACTGCCTGATTTCTTTAGGCATCTTTTGAAATTGTATTAATCGCTAAATATAACTGCGAGGATTATTTCATCGCTGATTTACTTTCCGCCGTTCTCTTTAATGTTTTCCTCCATTTGGAATTTGGAATATGAATGCTACGGGTAATGTCAACTTGAGAGTTAGTTTTGTAATTTCACTTAAAGGTTGTGGTTCCCCTACTTCAATACTTGGACGATGATCTCATGGTTCTGAATACAAGCGTCTTCAAATCAGTGTTTCACAGGTGAAATTTTTGCATCCAGATTAACTAATTAACTTAGAATTTGCAAGACAAAAGTGGTCCATTAATCCCATTCTTTTACCATTCTCGTTACACTTTGTAAGCGAGCTGGCACAGCCTACTGTACGAGGAACGTGTTCCGTGGGTTGCATACGGCGTGAAGTAAGCTGTTTACACGATTACGGGTTTCGTAAGGCTAAAATTGCCCTCTATTTGGTTATCGTCCTATTTCCGTCTAACTTTTATTCCCAGTAGCTACTTTTTCATTTTAGTAGATGTCTCGAAAGCTGTCTTGGCATATTTCCAATAATTTTGAGAATTTTTAGTTGTATGTCCTCCCTGAGCTTAGAGCAGCTTGATGTTTCGAAGGAGTTTCGCTTCTTCAATGTTTACTCGAGCCGGGTGAAACTTGGGCCAACACTGTACAAGTTGTCGTCTTAAAAGAACTGTAAAGAGGCCGCAATGCCAATTCTCAGAATGGTTTTGCTCTTACAACTCTGTGGCTATTGAAAACCAGGAAATGGGTTCCAAGTGTACAATGTTTGAGAGGAGGATTACACCTTACATTTTTAATAGTTGAGGGTGCCCATATATTATCAGACCTCATTCTGGCGCCTTCTTCTTAGCTTTTTCTCTAAGGGACTGATCATTATTTATCGGAGGGGGAGGGCTGGTGCAAATAGGGGGGCCACCATTTTTTATGCATGGCTTAAAGGGGGGGGGCATTCAAAAATATGCAAACGTTTTGCCAGGAAAAATGTTCAAAGCTGCATCTGGATGCCATCAACAAATACATCCTATTAAAATAGCTTTATACATAACCACCATAACCTTGGAAAATATGGAACAAAAAAAGGCAAAACTGGAAGCAATTAAAGAGAGTATCATCCAAGAACTTGCTAAACGCATTGAGAGAGAGGAGCATGCGAAGAGCGACAATCAGTCGTCTTCTGATTCACTCAGTAGTGAATCATCAAAAGACGACTCAGAGGAAGAAGACTGTGTCACTGTGTCCTTGCAGAGATTGGTATTTCAAGCTCTGAAGAGGAAGAGGAGTCGACTGAAGAAGAAGAAATGATTGAGAGCACCGAGAACTTTAATCTCAATACAATTGTCTACACACGGCCTTGGCGAAGAGCAACTCAAATCCAAATTTAAGGCAGCTTTGAATAGAATGTCTATCAGTTGGACATGGTGACTTGATAAATAGATACTTTTTGTTTCATGCATGTCCGAGGACAAGGGGGGATGGGAGGGGAGGGGCAGCAAAAATCATGTTAAAATGAAAGGGGGGTCAGCAAAAATCAAGCATGGTATATTTTACATTGCACCAGCTCCCCCCCCCCCCTCCCGATAAATAATGAACAGTCCCTAACAAACATCCCGTCATGAGCTTACCATCCTAGTTCATTTCACTTTTGGATATGGAGACTTCTGTATCAGTAGAAAGTGATTCGTGTTCTTGATTCACAGAATTCTCCACTTCATTTGGGAAATAGTGATTGAAAACTTTAGTAATGGTATTAAGGCCAACGGAGGGGTAAGGTTACTTATGATTCGTTACAATTTCCTTTTATTCGTTTGATTTAACGTGTTTATGCCATGATTCAGTAATTAACGAGGAGTTGATGTTTCGTTTTATCAGAGAACTGCGTCCTTTTACCAAAGACAATGCGAAGCCCTTGAGGTGAAACTCTTTACTTGTAACATTGGCAAGACGTAAACGTGTATCTCTTGTCTGACACATCTTTTGAATTTTAGACACATTCTCTCTAAAGCGGTCCGATGCATTACGGTTCAAAAACTCGATTTCTTTCAAATTTTGCCTTGGAATCTGTCGTAGTCTAAAAGTAATCGAAACCACCTTGGTTTTTCGAAATATTGTAGTAAATTATTTTTTTTTCCGAGCGAAAATCGCTTTAGCGCTGAAAGCCGGGCCCGTTTTTAACAGTGTCCATCATCAAAAATGGCATAAATTGAATTGCTCGTCTTTTCTCTAAATTGCTGTCTGATAATTTTTTCTTAGCTTCGCATATTTAGATCGATCTGCGTAGAATGATCCTGAGTTTCTATTTTTTAACGCTTTTATACACTGAAAATGATTTTTCAGTTTTACACCTACTTTGCAACTTTAAATCTCGGCTCAACTCAAAATCTCTACTTTTTCCTAGTGATATGACTAACATATGGTAGAGGATTATAGAAATATGATAATATGCTGTGGTTTCGCGACCTTCTAGCACAGCCGACCAACATAATGTGCACATTTTCGAAAATTCAGAGAAAAATCTCCTCAACCATCTAGAGAAATACTGCCGCCAGAAATTGACTCTTCGCTCTGAGAGACCTATTGTTTTTTTATCAGTCAGTAATGAGAAAGAAAATTGAAATCACGACAAGTCAGGAGATATATAAAAATAGTCATGTTAATCCAAAATATTTATCATTGTCCGTTTAAAACGTGTGCCTATTAACAGTACTTAAACAGTAGTTTAAGCAGTTATTTTGCAATATCTCGAAAAACCAAGGTGGTTTCGTTTACTTTTAGACTAAGGCAGATCCATGGGCAAAGTTTGAAAGAAATCAGTTTTTTAACCGAAGTGCACCGGACCGCTTTTAGAGAGACTTCGTCTTAATAAGGTCACTTGTTGTTTTCTGTTTACATTTCGTCACCCGGTAATGAATTGATGCTTTGAGATACGTAATTCCTTTTCTCGTGCTCAAATTTTTACGCGTATGTAAAACGTGAACCTAGCAAAGAAGAACTACATACCCCCAATTCCACATGTATTGTTCTCTGTATGATTTTAAACAACTCATTGAGAATCTCTCTTTTTTTATTTTTATTTTTAGATAGTGCAGAGTTTTTTCCACGCCGATGGAGTTGGGGTTCCTTTGGAACGTCTTCAGCTGGGAAATTATAAGGTACACTTGACAGTGTTTTACATGGGGCATAACAACAACTCACTTTAATTTTACAGTTACGCATACTTATTTTATGTGCAGAAACATTTAATAATCATGTGTTCGATCCGGATGGATCGCCGGCTATCTCGTGCTTATGGGCGTTACTCCTTAGCATTTGAATAATCGTTGATTTTGAAACCAGAAACCGTTTCACTGATGAGCGTGTCCCGAAAAGCCCGAAAAGGCAGACTACAAGGTGTTAGCAGCAGGAAAAAACTTAAGATAAGGTCTCTCTTCAATTGTGGCCAATGTACTTAATTCTTCATAGCTGAAATTTTCTCGTTCATTACGAGTAATTTGTGTTAAAGCCTCGATTACTAACGAGAGAAACATTTTTATGAAACTGGAAAACAATGAAATGAATTCTCCCAGAAGTTTGACTGGGCTGACATAAAACACAATAGTAAAGAGCCAGAAATAAACGCTAACTTTAATCCGATAGAACCCCTTGTTCAAAGGCGCCCTCGTGACAACCTTGTTAAAAACCCTGTTTTTCTAATTTTTCTCAGCGAGAAACACTCCCATTATTTTTTCTTCAAACAGCTATCATAGGCCATAAATAAAGCCAACATTCCATAAACGACTGTCCGTAGTCCAAAGTGTCTAAATGTTTTCTAAGCAGACACTGACTGAGATTTTTAAATGACTGTATAACCAAGACATTGAATAGCTTTTAGACAAGGTTTGCCTTGATTGGAAATTCTGTCAACTTCGCCAATCTTAACTTTTGGATATGTTGTGATCATTGTTTCATGAGTAACATGTTAAATTTAAGGTTCCAATCCTTCAAACTTTTTAGCCAACTAGCTTCAACATTTCTCTTGTTTCAAAGTCGTTGAAGCAAAGCCCATTTCAACTCACGTGTACCCTTCATACTGTCACCATAGCCATAGACATTGAAAATTCAAGATACCATGATGTGTCTCATTATATTTTGTCTCACCCATCACTTCTGGCACTTGGTGGGATTTTTCGAAGATCGTCATCGATTCCAAGTGTTTTCATAACCCGCTACCAACTGAAAATTAGGTTAATTGTATGATATCTCGAAATAGGAAAGATCGTTTCTTTAAGAGAATTTCCACGCAAACATTTTTCGTTAGGTTTTGGTTGAAACCCTCGCCTTACGCAAGATGTCCACAACAGAGTTAATCCAACACTACTTCGCCGAGAAGTGTGAAGAGCAGGTACATTCAAAAGCCTCATGAATATGATTCTTTCGCTTTCGATAAATGCAGGAGTGAAAAAATTTCAAATTCACAGAAACACTTTATTGTTGAAGAGCTTTTATATCTTGAATTTTGCCACTGATATGGAGCTTGTTATTAACTTTGTCGTGGTTTCCTTGCAAGGAAACTGCCGAAGAGAAATATGGAGCTGTAACATTTAAAGCTTTCTATGATTTTAATAACCAGAAGCTTCAAGTTGAAGGTAGGTTACTTGCACTCAATGTGTCCTTTTCGTCCATTTACTGTCATTTTAAACTCAGCCTTCTCGACCCTCTCGCCAGTTGCCACAAGGCTGAATTTCTTTTTCGACTGGGTGTGAACGTTTCTTCAGAGCTTCCACAGCAATATCCAATCAGTGGGAATCTAATAAACCAATTATTCCATTCCCACTTGTTAGAGATGACATTGGTTACTGGTCTTTACCAACTCATATTCTGCAGCATTCACGGACATTCACATAATTGTTGTCAATCAACGCATTCACTGAACCTGGTGGCCTTTTTCACCTGGCCGTGGTGGTAATACCACAAGGGGCACATACAATCTGTTTGTGTAGCCGATTGTTATTTTTTAGTGAATGTACCAGATTTACCGTTTGCCTCACCTATAGCGATATATTGCTGACTATGTATATAAATCAATGATAAATAAACGTTGAATTACCTTACCTGTGGTGTATAGTCGTCCTTTTGCCTCAAAAATGATTTTTTGAGCGATTTTGAATAAGTCTGATTTCGTCGTTGAATGTAAGTTATAAAACAAGGGTTCAAGCGCCCGAGCGATTTTTCCCCCGAAAATCGCATCGCTCCGCTTTCAAACTTCGCAGCATTAAGGTCAAAAGAGTCATGATTCTCCTCGTACCTTCCAATCGAAAATCCATCCAAACGGATCGGAGCTAGTCCTCGAAGAAAATCAAAATCCCACAGTATAAGAGCGTCTAGGATGCGTAGCAAGATCCTTATGTGCCAGCCAAAAACCGTCACGCTGATTGCCCTTTTCTGATTGGACGACGTTAAACGATGACCAATTCAAATTATCTGGCTGGCGCATGAGAATCTTGCTATGCATCCCACCCTTGTCCTTCTTTTATAACTTATATTCAACGACGAACTCAAACTTATTCAAAATCGCTCAAAAAAATCATTTTTGAGGCAAAAGGACGACTATACACCACAGGTAAGGTAATTCAACGTTTATTTATCAATGATTTATATACATAGCCAACAATACATCGCTATAGGTGAGGCAAACGGTAAATCTGGTACATTCACTATAAAATAACAATCGGCTACATAAACAGATTGCATGGGCCCCCTGTGGTAATACATCTCAGGGAAACTCTGGATTTTCATCAAGCATCCGCCCTGGTAGACTGCTGATATCCAGTTTTACTAAGGGGTTGAGAGAGGCACTGGGACATGGTTGATAGAGTAGAACACGGACCTGTTCTGGTCTAGCGCGCCAACCACTAGGTTACCCGGCTATGTCTCACAGGTAGAGTGATTTGACTATTGTAAATATGCTTTTCCTTCTCACAGTGCTGAACGCAAAGAACCTTCCACCTCTAGATACTAACGGTGAGTTCATTGGGACCTTTTGAGATTCCTTCATATTGACTTTCGATGTTATGCTGTGACATCGAATTGTACAGATTTGCTAGTTTTAGTCTCCGCTTATCAGTTCGGATGGAAAACGACGATGAGTGGTAATGCCTGAGTGAAAACCAAGCCTCCAAGTCTCAATCCAAAGTTCAGTCAAAGTCACTCACTAAATTAGCGAAATAATCCCGCAGGGCGGGAACTCCATGTATCTTCGAAATAAAACAGGGTCGTCAGAAACAAGAGTACACATTTAAGATTGGAAAAAAGGTTTCTTTACTGAAAAATCAAATCGATGAAATGATGAAAAATTTTTGTTTAAGAAGCATTCAGATTCTAGCTGACCACGTGAAGAAGTATCACTTTTAGCTGTTAAAGTTGGTTGTTCTTATGTGGTATTCTTTGTTGACTTGGTCTATACTGCTCTATTAGTAATTGTAAGGTTTTTTTTCTTATCTTTTTCTATCCTTTTGTAACAGGGCTGTGTGATCCGTATGTGACTGTGGAGCTGTTGCCTGAAGATTTCTTCGGAAAAGAGATGAAAAAAACTGAAATCATCAAGAATACTTTGTTTCCACTTTTCGACGAGCAGTTCGATTTGTAAGTACAATGATTACTTGTTTTGGAGTTGATTTTTTTGATTTACTACAAACACTTAGCTGTCAAATTCCTCCCCAAGTGATGTCGAACCAGAGTTGCTGAAAGAGACTGGTTCCTGTGTACATTTCATTGTTATGGATTATGACGTATTTTCAAATGACGATATTGCTGGTCACGTGTATTTCAACTTGAATGATGTCTGCGGTTTGCGGGAAGTCGTGGAAGGTGGCTTTTCTAACGTACCTCAACAAACACGGAATATCTTCCATCCCAAGCCTGGGGGCCAGTACTTTGAAGGTAAGAAATGAGGACAACAAAGAAAATGTGGGAGGATGTAACTTTTTTGTCTTAATGCCTTTCCGTATCCAGTTTTTGATAGTATGCCTGCTGAAGTCGAAATAATGGAATTCATTCCATTTGTTTCTTTACCATACATTGTTTCACTGACATGAGCTATTTCATTATATACACATAACGATTTCTATTAAGATATGATTGTGTTTTAGCGATTGACTGTAGTGTTGGGTTTTCGTCACATCTCAAATGTTTTGAGTTGATAGACGGTCACTCATTGGAGGAGGAACCGTCAGGTATCACTTGAATGGAAGTTTGACAAGTTTCCATTACACCGCTACGGAAATGCCTCCAATGCCTCTATTTCCTGCGGTTAATATTCGAAACGTGTGACAAGCCGAGTTGTGTTTGTCGACCTCCACTTAGAACAAAATTTCATCAAACAAATTGTAAAATTTTTCCACAATACCTAGACCTCTACTGTGTTAAACTGCGAAGTAAATAAATGGGGTAAGTTTTTAAAGAAACTATGGTGCTGCGTTGGTGGGGGTGACAAGGTAATTCGGTTTTATCAACTATTCATTCGGGGACAACTATTTCAAACAAACTAATGGCGTAACCATGGGTACCAAAATGGAACCTGGTTATGCCAATCTTTTTTAAGGTTTTGTCGAACACCAATTTTTCAGTCAATACAACGGCCCCAAACCTGAATTCTACGGTCGCTACATTGACGACTGTATTGGCGTTACCTCCTCTATCAGAGAGGAGCTAACTCAGTTTATAACCGTTGTCAATTCCTTTCACCCGGCTCTAAAATATACTTGGGAAATATCCGACAATTCTTTATCTTTTTTAGAAATCAAATTTTCAACTGAAGGCAACGGCTTATGCTCTAGTACTTGTTGTATTAATCTTCACATCCATCTCATGTCAAGAATTCCATTCCCTTTTCTCAGTTTCCTGGACTTTGTCTTTTTATATAATGATAACTCTGATTTTTTCGACAAATCAGAGGCATTGTGCCAGTTTTTCGAAAAACGTGATTATCCTGTTTCTGTCGTTCAAGCGGGTCACCACCGCGCCCAACTTATTGATCGACAGTCAGCAATACAAACGGCACATAAGGAAAATTCCTACCGCACTCCATTCACTCTCACATTTCACCCTCACAACCACGCAATTAAATCCATCATTCTTCAAAACTTCAAATTACTTGAAAACGATCCAGAGACTGGCACTATCTTTGCGCACCCTCCACTTGTTTCATTCAAACACGACAAAAGGCAACTTTTTGGTTAGAAGTTCATTTTAAACTGATGACCAACCCGGAACTTTCAAGTGCGCTCGCGCACGATGCAAAACTTGTCCTTTCATTCACAACGTTGATAAAATATTGGGACTCAAATGATCCAATAAGATTGCTGATCACTTTACGTTCACCTCCGCCAATGTCATCTATTGCATAACTTGCACTTCTATCAACTAATTTATTTTTGTTTTTCTCGTCACCATATTCCCACCAATAGCGTAGCTCCACTTTCTGCTTAGAAACACACACACGCAACCCACATATCCTCCTTTCGTTCTTACGAAGGGATAACGCTCGAAACGTCAGCTTTTAAATTCTTAACTTTTCGATGACCAATTCACATTATCCACTTAGTTGATCAAACCAAATTGCCAAGTAAATACTTCACCAAGATTTCCGCTCAGCCCCATACATCGTTATGCATACAGTTCTTTGATAAAGAAAACAATCGAGAAAAACAGTAGATTGCCTTTGGGACCACAGCTTTGTTTTAGAATCGCATAATTGAATAAAATCCTGCATTCTGATTGGTTAGCGAAGCGAGGTCTTTAGCGAGGAATTGCGAATTGAAAGCGAGACTAAGCGATAGTGCTTCACACCTCTTGTTTCGCGGTCAATATAAAAACAAACAATATTACTGCTGTGCTATTTTTTTCTAATTTTTATTTAGCTATGCGATTCAAAGAAAATCCATTACCTGCTACATGAATTCAGCGTTAAATTGCTTCCAATAATATCTATAGTTAGACACGCTGACACTTGTAAACAATATTTACATTTTGAAACTCTTATAATTGGCTGCATGAATGCTGTTGTCTCATCCTATCTATGAAGAATGTAAGCGGGCCATGCTGAAGATTTCATACCTCAAAAAGTGACCAACCACAGCTCACCTATTATCTTCTAGACATAGTACGTAGTAAGGAGATCTGACCTTCTTTCAGGAATGGTGTCTCCTGAAAACGATTATAACAGGGAGCATAAGCACTCATGTTTTTGAGGCAATCGGAAGTTGAGAGTTCTTATCCTTTCACCTTTTATGGAAGCAGCCTTTGGTTTAACATGGTAAAAGGAGTACCTTCTTCTGCATCTGTTGGCGACAAGGCGTACCATAAGTAATACCATTCCTATCCCAGTAACGGTCTGCGTCTTGACAACACCTTTGTTTAAGTTCATTAATGTCACTTTCCTTACCGTGGGTTTTGTTCCTTTCAGTTCTCGAGTCACGGGACGACGGAAAGGCTCAACGGTTCGCGAAAGCAGAGACCGACTTGTACGAGAGGACAATCAGCGCGCATGCGTGAGGAACCAACCTGGCCATGACATAGCTTGAGTCTCCGTCTTGTTTAGAATTTACGCTATACATCGTTGTTGAGCTAATTAGGCCCGCTAAATTTCTGAGGCAAACGATTTCAAATCATGTTCGCCGAAGAGGTTGCAACAGTGATACATACTTTGAAAGAGACTAAGCAGAATCGTGTGTAAAGTTTGTCTCAGTAGATGGTTAACCGTTACCTCTCCATGCGGTTTATATCAGTAGATAGACTTACATACATAAATTTGGTCAATTATTTGTGGTGAAATATGATTTATGAACTTGATTAATACCTATTGTAAAAGCTATAAGTTCCGCCACACTGAATAAAATAAACTGATACATTAGCTTAATAACAGGGTCTCAATCTGCGTTGTTCAATTTTCACGATTTCGAATCTGAAGAGCTTTTCATAAGAAAAGAACTCATTTACTAAAGGATGATGTCTTCCGTAAATTACACTGGCATACAATTACTCTCAATTAGGACTCGAACTGGCTACGACCTTCCGATAAAATACATTGGATGATCTTTCACTGGGCTCTAGAAAGTTCGTGGCAGGCTAAGTCGTTAAACTAGGTCCATGGTGACAAACTTCCTGCATACTGCAGGGATAGGAATGTCGAATGTAAAGCTTTTGAGCAGTGATGATGTAAACGAACATGATAAATGTTAAGCCTGGTGATTTAAGTTAAAGATGATGTGTTCAGAAAATAATACCGCTTTTACGCAATGATGATGTAAATGTAGATGATAGATATTAGGAGGAAGGAAAATTAATTAGAACTTAAGAAGGAAGCAGACACTTAATTAGAATAGGATGCAGAAGGATAATCGAAGACGAAATCCTTTAAGTCGTTAAATCACAATAAACGCGCGAGGTTTGCTGAGACTGAGGCAAAGAGAAATTTGAAGTAGGTCGAAGGGGCCTCAGCCCGAAGGATATCGGTTAACTTAAGGTAATAGAACGCATTTTTTGTGTTCGCCCAATCAACAGGCAGGGCCAGTCAATGTCAGAGGACGCTTTCAGGCGGTCAAAAAGCGTTTGTTTAACGAAAAGTTCGGACTCGAAAAACTAGAAAAAGGAGCAACAAAGTGTAATTCCAAAGTTTCGCAATAGGATTAAAGTAGGAGGCCTGAAAAGTGCTCGTTTCACAGATTGGTGTTTGTAGCTACGATGAAACACGGTAAACAAAACACACGATTTCGGCTATGGTTTAATGCGAAAAACTTCCCTTAACAACAACGGTTACACGACTTTTCCACTCGAACAAAAAAATCCTGCTTCACCTATTTTACCGCGTGCTCACACTTTTTTATATAAAACTGTCAATCAAAAAACTAAATCCGAAGATTATGTAAAAAGACTGAAACCTGATAATTACGTAACATACTGTGACGCGTGTCACTAGTCTTAAAAGGTCTCTTATCCAGTGTTTTTAAATTAAAGGAGTTGCTTAGTCTAGTACGGCCGTGATAAAAAAAAATGATTCAACAAAATATGGTACCGCCTATATATCTCTAACTTGCTTTCGTCTCGTTTAATTTGTTTGAATTCCTTTCCATGATAATGTCGGCCCCTACATTATCTACAGATCAAATCTATGGCATGTATTCAGAATCATCTCATGTTTTCGCTTTACACCTTCCCTCTTTTAAGCTGTCATGCTGTTCAGTTTAGCCAGAGTTTTTTTCGCGTGAGTTCTGGTCTGTTTCTAACGTACGACCGTTCTTAAATGAAAGAGCTCATCGCTGTTTCTCTTTTACTTGTTTTTGTAGTTATTTCTTCAGCTCTGTTGGCAAACAGCTTTTTTTAATTTTGAACGCGAGACATATGATCTACACACTTATCACGTGTGTATATGCAAAGCACTAGCATGAATTACGAGATACAACGCATACTTTGTCCACAACTTACATTAACAAGCGACATAGTACGTCATACCTGAAATCTCTTTTGGTAGGTTTTGGAGTTCGCATTGGCTCGGACGTAAGGGATATTACATCCGTTGAAAGGGTTGTCCACCCTGTGCTAGATTACTCACACTATACTTCAGGAGCTGCTGGAAGTATTGGAAGTCATGCTTTTTTGCTAATTTGTGACAAGGCTTAGTCTTGAAATGTGATGTGTTCAAATGTGTGAAATGGACGGGTGTCTCATGGAAATCGTGTGGTGTTGGCAAAGTTTTTATAAAACGCGCAGTCAAAAAAATACTTCATTTATTTTAGTCTTTCTGCTTTTATATTACTTATTCGTATATTTATTTATTTCTTATGCTCAAATTTATGCCGGCATAATATGGCAGCCCTACCCGTTGATATCTCTACCCTGCTTCGTTTAGTTATTATTTCGTTGACAGAGGATCATTACTGTTTGTTAATAACCGTCGCGAAACATTGTTCTTCATTTCGTGAGATTAATTCCTTTGATCCACTCGCTAAGTTCATTTTCCATCTACTTTTACCTTGAGTTGGCGGTTAATATCTCACACTAAATGACTAGGTTTAAATTTTTTTTCATAACATGAGCACTAACAACTTTTAAGGACATTAAATATTACCCCCAGCGGCACAATATGGAAATTTTCTTTTGATTAAAACCGGTTAATACAACACATAATTCCTGTAAATGTTGATGTGTTTCAAAATAGCAAGGACACCTCTTTTTTATATAACGAAGTATACATCACATCAAGATATCGCTATTAGGTTGTTAGTTGTACAAAGACAAATCACAGACGAAGTTGAATTCGCATATCTTTTCGTTATAAATTGCTTGTTTTGCCTATTACCAATGTAGACGCGTTTCGGTTGATATTGTTTTGTAATATGACTGAACTAAAAAATTTGATTGGTTTGAAGCAAATTTTATCTCTTTTCAAGTCAGCTTTCGGATTCAGCCTCCAAGTGGAACATCGTGCGTCTATTTAAAAAAAGTTACTCCCAGTAGGAAATGAAATGTTCATTATGCAAAGTTCGCCATGTTTTGCCATTATTATTCGATTCAACTTCCTGTTGTTTTGAAATCAAGTGTTTCCATCAGTCGTCTTAAATAATTAATTGCAAATTTCTCGTTTCCTTGGAATAAAATTCTGTTCTTATCTTTATTACTGAGTTCGGTCCTCAACGCAGAGGTAAAAAAAAAAATCCATTTTCGGTGATAAACTTTAACACCAAGGCAAGAGTTAGGCTGCACAAGCACTTTCCTTCTCTACTTTTTAGCTTTAGTTCTTCATAACATATTTCCATTATGAATCATGTGGTAAAACGACCAGTTGCATCAACCTGGAACTGTATTGAGTCTTTAAATGACTCTTTTCAAAGCCTCAAAAGAGGCTGGTTAAGGTGCAAAAATCTGGATGAAATGTAGAGGAAACCTAACTCCAATTTAGTATTCGATGACAAATGCAAATTGTTATTGGAATAATTGCGATACCTGGTTCTTTTTTAAATACTTTCTTTCTTGAACATTGAGAGTAAAAAACATAGCTTCATCGCCTGAATCCGGCGACTGCTTGTAGATATGAAACGTATTTCGCACGCTTTAGGATTTACGAGGCAAAACTCGATTGCGAATTGGCGGCATAACCATAACAAGTAAATTCAGCTTGGTGCGTTAAATGTGCATTAAATGTGGACTGAAATTCCTCTAGCGCTTCTTTTTCGATATTTTCTGCAGTTTTTTTAAGCATCTTTCCTCGGCGTTGGGAGGTAGGCGAATCCTTGCCTACAAGTAGCTCTGCCTCTTTGAGCTGGTCAGCTTTCTGTTAATTAAAGTAAATGCCAATTTGTTAAAAAACCGTTCGTTTTAAAACGAGATCAAAGCCATTATACATCTTTAAATGTCGTTTATCAGTGTCGAATTCTCAAATACTTTCTGAATTGATAGATAATCGCTCATTAGAGTTGTGAACAGCTAAAGGTTCGGTTTGATAATTGGTGTGAAGTCGTAGTTAAATTTTTGAGATCACAAAAACTTAATGCACAGAAGATTTGCAAATAGAGCACTTGGCAGTTTACTTGCACGCTATTTCCGTTCTATTTAAAGGAAATGATGCAATATTTTCAGTATGGAAGATTTACTTGCTCACTTCATTTTGTGTTATCAGTGAAATCCTCCATAAATTTCGAGTGTCGTCGTACCTGCTTTGCGGCGTTTTCCTTGGTTTCCCGCAGCATTTTGAAATAACAAGTTTCCTCTGCAAACTTTGGTGTGTTAGACAATCTCCGCTTTGTTCGCGGTTTTTGTGACATTTTCGTGAGTCAGTATTTACTGGGAGCTCTTCAAGCGAAGTTCTTCAAATGCACTCGGACTTAGATTTGTCAAACAGCTCAGTGTTAGTGAACTGGATCTACTTAGGTTACTGCAAGCGGTGGAAGTTCTATTGTTAGTAACTGCTGTGGAAAGTGCTGAGCCAGCCAATACGTTTTGCCGTTTGTAGTTTTAAAATGTAAATGGGATTGATGTATTGTCAGTTAATATGGGCAGATGTTTCGTTCATCCAAATTCCTTTGTTTTGTTTCACTTAATTAAGATGTCTTCTTTATTCCATTAAGAAGTGAAATGGATGTCAAGTGATAACTAACTTAAAAACAAACCATTGCCTTGAGAGAAAACTGTACATAAAAATATGATATGATTGTCGCTAGGAACTATCACGACTCTTTTTAGCAGGGTATTAAATGTAAGGTATAAGTACAGGGATTTGCGCGCGAGGCGTCCGGATGACACGAAAACCAGTAGAAATCGACTGTTAAGACGTAAAATTGGAATCAAATCGCATTGTAGTGATTTCACAACAATCCGTGTTTATGTACCGAACATCTTATATCAACTTGGACTCGGGTTGTTTCTCGGATCGAACTCATTACGGGTTGTAGGTTGCGGTTACGGGGGAGGGGGAGAGGTGAAGAATGTATACAGTATCTATTTTATAACGCAGAAGCTTTTTAATTAGTTTGATTCTTAACTAAAGTAACAAGCGGAAAGGGAATTCTGTAAGGAAGGAGCAAAGTCAATTCTACTTAAAAACTGTAATAGAATATATCTTTTATTTATTTATTTTTTCCTAGTTTAGAAAGATGCCTTGATTGTGTTCTGTTCTGTTAAAATGCATGCAGGAAGCGGCAAGAGCACGAAAGAAGTGTAGGGAGGGACACGAGACGTAATCGAGTGTTTCTACCCACGTTTTGAACGTAGTCGACTCGTACCCAAGTTTTAGTTCTTCCCCGAGTTTGAGTCGATTCGTACCCAAATAGCCTGCGTAGCGGCCCTTGGGGGAGGGGGAAAGGGAGTGGGGAGCCGAGCGAAGAGAGGCTTGGGGAGAGGAAAGGAAGGAAAGGAAGGGCCTAC